TCTATCATACACACACACTATCATAAACACACTATCATAAACACGCGATATCATACACACACACTTTCATACACACACACTTTCATACACACACACTATCATACACACACACTATCATAAACACACGATATCATACACACACACTATCTTGCACACACACTATCATAAACACACACTATCATACGCACACACTATCATACACACACCATCACACACACACCTGTATGACAAACTCGACCAGCGTGTGGATATTCGAGGTCTGCTTGCACAGGGCCTGCCACACTTGCTCTACGCTAGTGGGATGGCTCTCGCCGTGGTGTGTGGTGATTGCCAGTAGTTGTAGTAGTATATATATGTGCTTCTGCTGTAGTTCATTGAAGCGCTCGAGGCTTTCGGAGGGGGTGTGGGAGGGGTCTTCGGAGGGGGTCTGAAGCGAGGCGGTGGTGAGCGGGGGTGTTCCTTTCTTGCTGGAGGTATCTGAGTAGGTAGAGTGTGTAGGTATGGGTTATACAACGCTATCGTATCATACACATACGTAAATGGATACTTTGGAAGTGTCTGGGTAGGTGTTTCAGGGTTGAGTAAAACCCAACGCATATATATAATAACATATGTATAAACATGTATTTAATGATAACAATACATATATATATAATAATACAACAATAAAACAATATAATAATACAAAAACATATTACAATAATAAAAACAATGACAATAATAATAATAAAATAAATAAATAAATAATAATACTAAGAATAGTATAAAAATAATAATAATAATAATAATATATATACATATATAGAAATAAATATGTATCTACATTATATAGATATATGCATATACATGTAGATATAGATATAGATATACAGAAGCACATACATATACAAACACAAATACAAGTACATATATATATACATCTCGATATATCAACATACAACATACTGCTATTCAAAGTATATCGCCTGCCTTTTCTATTCCCATCCACACTTGCCGCTGAGCCGCTGAGACTGCTAACGGTTTCTCTGCGATCTCTAAACAACTCAACACTGCGAGCCCCAGACGACCGACGACGAGAGTCAGACGACAAACTATGGGGAGCTGTATGGATACATGTATGTATTGTGAATATGTGTAGCTCAAACCTCGTGTATGAAGTTAATATGTACGTATGTCTATATATATATATATGTATAGAGATATACAAACACATATATATATATATACACGCACTAATATACATACACACACATATATATATATATAAACACACACATACATAAATATATATATATATAAACATACACACATACGCACACTTATATATATATACATATATACTAAAATACTATATACATCCCTACTTTTCCTATACATACAAACATAAAAACTAACACACACACATACACACACACACACACACAC